ATGTGGGTGCTGGTTCCCTCTGGCTGAGGTAGGGGACAGGCATGGTCCCTGCGTAGAGGAGGGGCAAGTCGGGGAGGGGTGGAGCTGGACTTTCCCGGTAGCATCCAGCTTAAGCGCACCTGGGTGCTGGCTCCACAATGAACCACTGCTAGTCTATGGCCAGAGAACATCCCACTAGGGGCAGAGAAGCTGTTGCTGCACAGATGGGCCCTGCGGCTTGGCCTGGGAGCTTCCCAGTCCCAGCAGGTAGCAGCTCACCCATGCATGTGTGTGCCCGCCTCTCGCTCACACACACACACACACACACTCCCCAGGCCACTGGGAGGTGATGGTGTCGGGCTCAGAGTCAGATGCAGGGCTGAATTCGAGTCTCCCAGGGTGGGAAGATGCAGCCTCCGGGAACATGACAGTGTGGCCAGGAAGGAGCGGTGAGTGTGTGCATGGCCATAGACGCTTGTGCAGGGTATTGTAGGGGGGCGTTCCCTCCCACTGGCTGCTTCCGACTCGTCTTGGAAGCCGCACTGCATCACGGAAGTGCTCTCACATGTGAGCTATCAATGAAAGGACTGGAACCCCTCAGTAGTGAGGGCCAAGCACAGTGCACAGCCTGGTAACTGTACACAGCAGCCCTGTCAAGAGCCCCCAGCAGGCCCAGCTCTGGAGGAGAACCACTCTATTTCAATGTACCTCCACTCCGTGTCCGAGGGAGGAGCCCACTCAAAAGAGGACGGGAAGGGAGTGGAGGTCACAGGATCAGAAGAGCTGCCGGCTGGCACCCACTCTGCCCTGTAGGAAGGGAGAAGGAGACTGCCCACTGGGTAAGGAAATCCGCTCATCTCCAGCTCACGGCTGTAATCCTGGGCCTCCCTCCTCCCAGGCCTGTTCTATTTTCACTCCTCTCCCCCGGGAGCAGCCGGCAAGGACTTCGTGGGGCTTGTAACCGGTTCTCTGGCATCTCCCGGATTGGGTGTAGGCTTGCTCAGCCCCATCACCTTCGCTCTCCTGCTCACCTCCTCCCGACATTTCCCTGAACCGGCTCATCAGCTCCTTCCTCGCTCAGATCTGCAGCACTCGGCCTGTGAGCCAGGAGGGCCCAGTTCTGAAAAGCCAAGCCGCCCGGCGCAGGGCGAGTGGGGCGCAGGGCTGGTCCATCTCAGGCGTCCGCCTCCGCAGGCCTGGGCGATGGGCAACGTGATGGAGGGTAAGTCGGTGGAAGAGCTGAGCAGCACCGAGTGCCACCAGTGGTACAAGAAGTTCATGACCGAGTGCCCCTCGGGCCAGCTCACCCTCTACGAGTTCCGCCAGTTCTTCGGCCTCAAGAACCTGAGCCCGGCGACCAGCCAGTATGTGGAGCAGATGTTTGAGACCTTTGACTTCAACAAAGTGAGCGGGGCCTGGGTGGGGGTGATGGAGGGAGCCCCGATCAGCGTTGGGGGGCGGGGGGCAGATGTGAGAACAGCAGGGTCTGCTGTGGAGGGCTTCACTTATCCAGGTCTTTGTTTACCTGGGAGGTTGAATGTCCACGTTAGGGACATTGGTCTCACACCCATGGAGCACCTACTGAGAGCCAGGCACTGGGTGCGGAAGGACAAGGACCATCCCTGCCCTGGCTCCCCAGGAGAAGGCAGAGAGGTCCCAGGTTAGGGTCCTCGCAGACTGAGCTGAATGCCTCCCTTTGCCTCCCACACGCACATTCGGATTTACTCCAGAACAAGTGTGAACACTTCCCAGTCACTGAGCACCTACTAAGTGCTTGATGCCTCATGCGGTGATTTTGCACAGAAGCTCACAAGGTTGCAGAAGGAGGGTCGGGGAGTAGAGAGCAGGGTGAGGAGGTTCCAACCCCCGGCTGGTCTGGGATGGGCAGGCCCACGTTACTGGGGTCACCTGTGATGGTCTGTGGACACTAGGCCTGGGGACAGGCAGGGTTGCTGGCCACTAGGAAATCCAGGCCACTCTAACTCCAAAATACCCAGTGACCTCAGTTTACCCTTCTCAAGTGGGTCAACTTGGACGTCTCCTCAAGGAACCACTGGACGTATTGGGTGAAGCCTTCCGGATGAGCTAGAGGGCACACTGACAAAGGAGTGAGGCACCATGAGTCTGGGCTCCTAGTTTTCATCACCTGGGTGACCTTGAACCCATTCTCTGCCCCTCAGCCTCAGCTTAGTCACCTGTATCTGCCACGGACGTCAGAGCGTTAGTTAGAATGTTTGTTAGTTTTCAATAGCAAACCTCGCATTTATTTGGAGCAATTCAGTCAGGATGTGGTGGTGGGAGAACCCAGAGCTGGTCTTCCCACCCTGGCAGGTCTCCACCCAGCTGGTGCTCGCTCGAAGGTGAGATGTGAGGATGCCCTGCCGTGTGTCCACCGCACGCTGGGGAGAGGCTGCCCAGAGCTCTCCCAGCTCCTCTCACCACCCAGAGAGCCGAACACCAATGTGGGCGGGGCTTCTAGGGAAAGCTGGGCTCAGAGCTATTTAAAACTCGCTAATATTTGGGGTCAAGGGGCCAAAGCAGATTATGAGCTTTGAGTCCCAGCCTCAAGGGCAGCATCATGAGGGCTTTCCTGAAGGGGGCGCAAGGGAGCAGAGTACGGGAGCCTGGGGCAGGGAGACCTGAGGGGTGGCATCAGGACCCCGGGCCTCCCAACTCTCCCAGAAGCAGCCCTGATTCCTGAGCGGGCGGGGAAGAGCCTCAATACCCACACCCAGTGCCCCAAATAGCTCAGCTTCCCACGTACTAAGGAAATCCTTTGGGGTAAGACATGTCTCCACAAGGACCCTCTAAAATCCCACGTCCGACACCAGGCAGGCCAACCCGCCAACCGAGTCATGCATATGCCCTCTTTTAGTTCTTGTCACATGCAACCACCACCTGGTCTGTCCCAAACCTGGCTCCCTCGATTATGCCACCAACCCGCGCC